CATATTTGGTTACACAATTCAGGTGAAAATTGCATTAGGTAAAAATATTTTAAATTACTCTAAAGTTACAGCAAATATTGGCATATTAACCAAAAAATTCATTTGTATTATTTACTTTATACACTGCGCCTCCCAACGGTCATATTTGGAACTTTAAAATAATTTCTTGCTCGAGGTAGTTATGAATGTTATCGTTCCCAAATGTTGGCGGTATTGTAATACCCTGCATAGACTTTTGATATTAATGATATAAAATAGTAGTTGATTGGCCGAAACTTAACATTTTGGCAATTAAAACTACTGTTTTCTAAATCCTTGCAATATTAATTAACAATGTCGCTACGGCGGATTCTGTGTTAAACCTCCTAATTGTGAGATTCAGTGTTTGTAAGACTATTATTTAAAGTAAATGATTTGTAAGAAATGTATTCCTCACCTGTCTTTCAGACCATTTCTTTACATGAACTTCAATAAAATTTATAACTTTAAAATGTATAAAGAGCGAAAATGAAACATCACAATTGGTTATAAAAGTTCTATAATGTTTACCCATACCCAATCGCCACTGTCTTGTTTCTGCCCACTGGTCCTCTTTAACTTATCTCTTTGTCTCTATTATACTATCGACTTCCATACCAGAATTTGTATAGGTATTCTCTCCTGTGTCACTCCGTACAAGGAAAATATCATTTGCCGTATTGAATTAATATAGGTAACATTAATTACTGCTTAATAGTAACTAAAACTTGCCAGATACGTCACTGAATGAATGCAGAGCTTCCGATCGTATTGCTGGTGGCTCGAGGGGAAAGCACATCATTCGCGCAACCGGCTTAAACCTCACCCTAATTGTCTTGTGTTGTGCTTTATCTTCATTATTTTATAAATTCTGGTATGCATTATTTTCACAACAAATACTGTCAGCTGACTGGTCATAGCTGAATGTACAAATGGGTTAGCAATTAAAACATCCTAAAAATCAGTTGCGGAAATGGAAAAAAATATATCAACCAATTATTATAATCGTAGAAATGTTTGTCCCATTCTTAGAGTTACAATAAATATACATAGAAGAATATTGACATGATTTTATTAGTTTTAAGTCTCGACAGCTGTAGGGATCTTTTGGAACACACATTTGCCATGTAGACAAATTGAAATGGAAATAAATGACCTTTTATACAAAATAATAAAAATATATTTCTTTAAAATATTTATGAGTTTTAATTGATCACCCAGTAAAATTATAAAATCCTAAAATTTAGAACATCAGTAGTAGCCCAGGCTGTGGGGGAAAAAGTACTCTCTAATCCAGGAATTTATGTAATGTAGCCTAGGTTATAAAGAGCAGCCTCAGGAGCAATGCCCCAGTTCATTCAACAAAAAATGTTTGGTTATTGTTTATTTATTAGCGTTTATAGTTGCAAAATACGTATGTTTTGAGTTTTTTTTCATGTTTTGCCTAAAGTAAATGTTGTAATGGGTAATTTCTGTATAAATTATAAAAGTACTCTAAAAGACCTTCAATTTGAGCCGGTTTACTTTCAATTGAATTTATTTGTTATTGCAAAAATGACGAATGAAGGTCAAAATTAAAAAACGTAATATTTATTGCAGAATTGCTTTTTTATTTATTTCAAATGTATGACATTCGAGCCTAAATTACGAAGCAAATGAGCCGTAGTAACTCATTAAAATTATTGTCACAACCATATATGGCACATCTATTACCACCCATTTTGTTTATACAAGTAAATTGATATAGAAACAATAATTAAATAGTCTTATAAGACCGTTAAATCGCTAGTACAACAAAAAAATTGGCAGCAGGCACAACTATTCTATATAAAACAATAAGAAATGTCAACCACCAATCCCCACGCCTACGTCACACTCAACATAACGCATTTCTTACATTAGAGCATAGGACAAAATCAATCCTATCTGTGTTTACTGTCCTTGGTTATAGTATATACTTAAAGTTATATAGTATATAAGTATAGTTATAGTAGTCTATATTTTAGATATTAAATTTTTTTAGAAATGAGGATGTTTCATGGGGATGTTCTCAATAATAATTTGATAGTAGATTACGTTTAATAGTATTGTAAAAGTAAAAGAATTGAAAAAAAATTGAAGGGGGTTGGAGGTGGTTTTTAAGGATGAAAGTATTCCAGATATTATTTCGACGAGCTACCCCAGATTAAAAAAAATCATCGAAATCGGTTCATTTTTACAGAGATATTGCAAAAATTTTCGATTCGATTTTTTTCTCGTTGCGCAAAGTCATCCCCACCACTACTTCTGTGCCATCGCTTAAAAAAAGGTAAACTTTAAGGATTCCCCAAACCGACGCGAAACTTTCGCAGCGGAATCGCGGCGAATCGTAAGGCACGGCGACTTAATGCATGTGTTCAGACAAGTTCGGACGGAAACCGGAACGGTCGCGGCAGAACAGCGTTGACGTTTCATGAAACGCTGCATGCACGGTTTTTTTCCGCTGCAGTTTATAGCAAGTTATAGTTTCGCGTGAATTATTAAAATGGCTGTTACAGAAAAACTAATTGAAATTGTGAAACAATATCCTATAATTTATGATTTAAGTGACGAAGATTATAAAAATATAAGAAAAAAGGATAAAGTCTGGGATAATATAGGGTCATTTCTAGGAGAAAATGGTAAGTTTTCATTATATATTATATATAATGAATTTAATAGTGCTCCGCCTGCGAATGTTCCGCAACGGTTTCGCGTCGGTGTGGGGAATCCTTAATACAATCAAAATTAGAAAGACGTCATATCTAGGACACATAATGCGCCACAAGGAATTTGATCAGCTCCAGGTAATATTAGAAGGCAAAATCGAGGGTAAAAGGGGTATAGGAAGAAAGAAGAAGTCCTGGCTCCGAAACATCAGAGATTGGACTCACACAACAGGAAATGACTTAATCCATCAAGCCCAGAACAGAGAGAAATTTGCCATATTGATCGCCAACCTCAATAGAGAAGGCACTTATAGGAGGAGAGGAATGATTTTAATTTAAGAATACAAATACTTGAAAATATAATATAAATTATACTAACTCAGCTCCTATTGGTCGTAGAAAACTCTTTTTTTTTAATCTTCGTGTCGAAGCCAGCTACAATAATCTGCAAATTAAAAATTTGTAGGGTACATAGGGGGCGCTGCAGCTCTCAATGTTTATAACTGCAATTTTACAACTTCATAAATAATTGTTTTTAACGGGTTAAACATGTTTTTCATTATTTTCCAGTGGAATATGAAAATGTACGGCTTTAGGAAGAGAGTGAAAGGAGAATTAGCCCTCTACCATTTTTTTTTGGCAATTCTATGAGCATTCAAAGTTGAAAGTTGTGGGATAACCTAATTAAAGTATCTCAGCAACAAAGTAAGCGAGCTAGGCCTACTACGGCTCATTCGATTCGTAATTTTATAGGCTTGAATGTAATATATTTGAAATAATAAAAAAGCAATTTTGCAATAAATATATACAGGGTGGTGAATCGTCAAACGGGCCATAGGAAACTCAATGAGAAATTCTAAACTGTTGAATTCCTGCTTCCCTAATTATTTTACACCAAAAGTCATAGGAAACTATTTGTAGATGACTCAAATATGTATGGAAAACAATTGTTAAAATTGTTCTACGACTTAAACGTATTCCAATATTTTGCTAAAATATAATACATTTTTCAGGCCACCCCTAAAAGTCAGGCCAGACGCCGTGAAAAGAATGTGTATTACGTGTTGCGTTTTGTCATATTAACGTGTCTAATACTTGACAATATGTAAATCAACTATATTATATTTATCTATGATTTAAATGGCCAAAATTTTGTGATTTAATATTTAAAAGAAAAATTAAGTTTATTAAAAATGTACTCAGTTAAGGAGAAAAGAGCAATAATAAAAATGTTTTATTCATGTTTTATTATAACATTTGTTATAGTTTTATGTTTAGAAATTATCGTATATTATTATTAGTAATAAAGATCACAGTAACAGTATATTGGAATTCATTGAATTGTTGTATAACTTAACATGGAATTAAACTTTAGTGTATTAGAATATCTTACGTTAAATAAAGATCCGGTAGTGACAGGAAAAGGTTCGCGCTATTGCCTGAATACAACATTATGCGATTTTTCGTCAACTGAGTATTATACATTTCATTATATTGATCGATTTGTCAACAATATAATTTATTGTTCACGAAGTAATATTGTTCAGTAGTAGTAGTAGTATTTAGTAAAATTCATTGTTTATAATTTAATCATAAAATAAAAAAAATTGACAATTCAAATTGTCAAACATCTGACATGAATATGATAAAACACACAAGTTATAATATATTCTTGTATTACGTGTGGCCTAACTTGTAGGGGTGGTCTGAAAAATCTATTATATTTTTGCAAAATTTTGAAGTACATTTGATTCCTAGAACGGTTTTAACATTTGTTTTTAATTTAGAATTTAATCCTCTACAAATAGTTTTTTATGACGTTTGATCTAAAATAATTAGGGAAGCAGCAATTCAACAATTTAAAATTTCCCATTGAGTTTCCTATGGACCGTTTGACGATTCACCACCCGGTATATATTTTTTAATTATGACCTTCATTCGTCATTTTTCCAATAACAAATAAATTAAATTAAACGTATACCAGCTCAAATTGAAGGTCTTTTAGAGTACTTTCATAATACTTATTTTAAGAAAAAAATGAAAAAACTTATACGTATTTTGCACCTATAAACGCTCATAAATAAACAATAACCAAATCAACACAGCTAATAGAAAGGAAGAATAGGTCTTTCTTAGATCAATATTCCAAGACCGGGTACGAAACTATCATTATGGGAAACAAAAAAACTAGTAAGTTAAATATTTTACAATTTATTAACATCGTTACTTATTCATATGAGGTAGAAACTTTTTAATAAAAAAAAAAGAAAGAAATGAGAGCTACAAATTTTAAGCCTAAAATTCTTTTAATATATTAAAGTGAACATGCAGACTGGAAGGTACGTTGCTGAAGTGAAGCGTTCGCTCGATATTGGCTCCTATTTTTTTAAGTGTTTCAGTGAACTTCTTTTCCTCGTTCTTAACCCACGGTCTCCGGTCATCTGCTACCTGGTATGGAGAAACATGAACGTAGACTTGGATATCTGCAACAAAAATATTAGTAAACAATCTTATATTATACATAACTAGTTTTTAAGAACATATTTGATATACACTATAAATATAAAATATTCGTTTCTGTGCAACTGACGGGAGGGATATACGTCACTAGACAGTAGCAAGTTCTGGTATTTACTGACAGATCGTATTTTCTGTCAGAATACTACTGAACCACAGAATAATAAACAATCAGAATGTCTACTCTCAGATGCCGCCTTTGAAGTTTTTCAGCACGAGCGCCATGTTTTAGAAGGAAACACATAACACAGACATATGATTTGTGAGGTTATGTAATTGTTTATATTTATGTTTAATTATTTTATGTTATTATATTTAACAATGTTAATATAATTGTATAGTATGTTTATGATTGCCGTAAGTCAATTAAACCGGGTTAATTTTTCTATGTACACCACATAAACAACACTGGTTCCCTCTAAAACATGGTGGAACGTCTGCGCGAAGGAGATGCGCGTACTTAATTTTCCAAGGAGAGTGGGCATTCTGTTTGTTTATTATTCTGTGGCTGAACTAATTCCAAGTAGTATTTGTAAATTTAAATTAAATACATAGATATTTTAAAAATGTTAACGGGTAATTTTGTTATGAAGCTTTAATTTTAAACATCTGTAGCTGAAATGTAGATAAAGTGGACTTGGTTCACTTTATATACTGAACCCTCTATATAACTTCAGCATCGATGATGGATCGTCCCAATCAGCGTATAATTATAGAATATGTGAACCTTGGAACCTATTAGTGAGACAATATATAATATGTATGCAGCTAAAGTTATGCCTAACCTAAACAATATCATGCCAAAATTAAAAAGAAAAACATATTGTTGATGATTGTTCAGCAAAGACTTTGGAAAGATTTTTGACCACAAATGGTTTTAAATATAAAACTGTCAATAAGAGACAAACCATAATGGAAAATACATGCCTAATAATGCATGTCGAGAAATTTATTATCTGGAAGAGACTTGTTTGATTGTCACGAAACGATAGACAAAGCATGGACAAACGGTACAAGAAAATGCCAAATAGATGTACCCCATTCTAGATTCAAGCGAATTTGCATATTACATTGTGGAGGACAACATGTATGGGTGAACGATGCGTTATTGTTGAGTTCCAAAAGTATTAAAGACAGTTCTCTAGACTACCACCAAGACATCGAAGGGACGCTTTTTGAATCGTGGTTTGAGAATACATTACTCCCAAACTTAAAAGAAAATAGCCTGATTGTTATGGACAATGCATCATATCACTCAGATGCATTAAAAAAATTCCAACCAAACAGAGTAGGAAGGATGAAATTCAAAATTTTTAATAGCCGAAGACCTATATTTGGAGAATGATACAGGCTTTTGAAACATTAGAAAAAGCCGCCATTACACAAAAGATCAACTAATCCAGGTTCTTCATACAAAACTCGTAACTAAAGAACATATTGTAGATAAATTAGCCACTAACAATGGACATTTTTTTTAAGATTACCTCCATATTACTATGTGTTGAATCCCAAAGAATTGCTATGGGCTCAGTTAAAAAAAACCGTGTCTGGAGGAATAACACATCTCCAAAAGATGCCCAAAGTGTTGTCGAACTAATAAAAACAGTTCAAAAATATCAGTGCTCAAAACTGGCAAAATGCAATAGAACATGTAAAGAAGATTGAAAAAGATTACATGAAAAATGTCCCAGCCTTGAAGAAAATTATTATTAATTTGGCTGAGAGTGATGATGAGAACAATAATGACGATGAGTTGGAATAATTGTTAACTTTGACTGGAAGATCATAAATGAATGTGAATTTCCGAAGTGGATAGTATACCATTTAATTTATAATAGTAAAAAAACCAATGGGTAACTTTTTGTGGCATCACATGTGACATGTAAGTAAATAAAAACTATTTTTAAAGTTATACTTCTTTATGCGCGATTGGGAAAAATTGATGAGAGTGAATTTTTATAACACTCACAGTATGAAGTACGCGCATATTCACATCTAAATCTTTTAAGTTAGGTATTAATGCAAATAAAGTGAAAAAAATATATTGGTGTTTTTGTTAATTCGATTATATTAGGACGGTGATAGATATTTACGGATGATTTGTTAATATATTTTTTTATACTTCACTTGATCTATTTGTCACTATCTCCGATAAACAAATGTAAACAAAGCGGTTATTGGTTAGTCTTAATTTTGAAAAAGGTGAAGGTTAATTTTTCTAAATACTATATTATGAGGTAGTTTACTTTAAAAATAATCAGTATTTCGATCAATTGGTAAAAACATTTAAGTACGCAAATTAATAATTCGAAATTCAACACTTTTTCCGAAAATTTTATTTGAATGTTGGATACAGATTAGTATAACTCTGTAAATGTCTCTCTGGGAGGTCTGTGTTACAAAAGGTATCAATATCCGATTACCAGTAGGTCGGTTTTTTAAATTTCGCATAGATCTTCTCCCTCACTATAGTCTCGCATATAAAATACCAAAATAAAGCGCAATAAAAATAAAACGTACCCATACTAGCTAAAGTTTCAAGGAGTGAGCGGGTAGTGATCCATGTATTTTTTCCACCTGAATGACCACCATCCAACCAGTACATTTGTTTGATTAATGGTAATATTTTTATATCTTCGGAGCCTGGTAAGTTTTTATAATAGTTATACTCATATAGAAACTGATTTAAAACAACGCATCCCTTGCTGAATCCTAGAAGTGAAACCTCACAATCGTTCAAATTTACTGTAGTTCTAAGTGGAACTTCGTCTGAAGTTTTTGGAGTATCTACATAATCTAAAACAAAGGAAATAAATTATTTTACTTGATTTTCCACGAAAATTTGGATATTATTGGAAACAGTAATGAAGGTAGATTGAAACAATAATATACAAATCTAAATATCTGGGCCATCGTATACTAATAGGAAAAACAACTAATCTGAAGCCAATAATGAAAGTTCCAAATCCCAAATATTGTTTTAAGTTGTGTGTGCCTTCATCGGTATATTGACTCAAAATAATCAATAAGGGTCAGAATTTGTAAGATTCTTATTCTTCCGATTTTCTCGAGTTGGATATTCGTATGAAACGCGAATATCTTTGTACCAATAGCATGCAAATCTTAGAAGCTTACTAACATGTAGGTCATAACAAATTCACAGCAATATAATAGTTTTGTTGATTTTGTCTGGTCTGATTAGATGAGCAAAAATGTTTTTCTCCTATAAGTTCTTGTAATTCATCGGTTAAAATGGTGATCCCCACAGGGTAGCAGCAGACACAGTCCTGTAAGCACTTGCTGCCTGCAGCAGACTAGTTCTGTTCGCGCGTACCAAGAGCTCTTGTACGCTTGTGTTTCCACAGTCGCACTCCATACTGGTGCAGCGCAGAGAATGGTAGACTACACAACTCCGTGTAAAACCCTCCACCTATCGGATTTGGGTCCCCCGATATTCGGCATTACCCTACCCAGCGCAGCAGCACAATCAAATACAACTCTCTTTATTTCTCGGACCTTTAAGGACTATCGCCTCAGTCTCAAACCGTGGTCATTACACTTGTATATCATAACCGGAACAACAGTTCCTCCCCGTCCCTTGCTGCTACCAGCATCACTAGATCAACCGCGAATGCGAAGGGGGTAACCGCTTCTCCAAATTCGCAATCTGTGACCCAGGTTCCATAGTACCTGGCCAAGGTACCACAGCCGTAACTTCTACAATCACGCCTCTCTCAGCGATGATTTCCCCCTCAGACAAATAATAATCAAATATGCCGTAAAGTTCCTCGCCGCTAGAGGAGTAGAACGGCCCACTTGTTGCGGTATCCCCTCTTTTACTCTTAACGTACTCTTACCCTTACGAAATCCATACTGCCTTGGGGACAAATCCTCAGACTTCTCTCTCACCCCTTCCTTCGATTCTCTCGTACAATTTGCTTATGCTCGAAAGAAGACAAATAGGTCAATACTTTCCAGATCGTTTAGGTAGGAGTAAGAGCCTCGAGATTTTCTATGGCTCCGGAAACACCTGTTCCTCAAGCAGGGCGTTCATGTGACCCAAAAGGCACGCAATATCTAGTCGTTCTAGACATTTAACCACCTCTGGCGGTATTCCGTCTATACCGGGAGCCTTGCGCGACTTAAGGGACTGCACCGCCGACGCAAGTTGGCTCGCTATGTCTCGATGTCTTAGACTCCTCGCTCTATTAGTAGCTTGTCTGCGAAGGGTAATGCATTTTCTTCTCAGTGCTCAAACATACTTAAAGAATTAAATTAAAGAATACTGGAGGCAGCGATTTATTCTCATTGAATTTCAAATTATTCTCTTCGATTTTAGAATTTTTCTTCCTCAATATTTAGTCGTTAATAAACTAGCAAGGAATACTGCGAGTAAGGTATACTGAATCATTTAGGGTAGTTCTTTAAGACACATAACCCTATTAAGGATTATAATTTCATATAATCAGTTTTCACATTAAAACAATAAACAACAACAAATGGAATCATGTTTGTGATACTATATACACCATTGGCTGGGTCTAGATATATATACGTCTAATATATATTACCTGAAGACAGGTAAGATACGCTATCGGTAAGTAGAGTAAACTAATGCGAAATGTATTGAAAATTTGTATTGATGCACAATGATTAAAATCTGCAGATATTTGATATCTGCAGGTAAATTTTAACCAACGAAAAGTTGAATTGGTTTCTACAAAAGTCCTGAGCTAGGTTATTACCAGATATAACTTATGTTTTCAATAAATGATATCAATTTTTAATTCCCATGATTTATAAAAAATTACCTACTAGTCCGTTCTTAGAAACTTCTTCTACATGTTTTAGTTCTTCATCAGTCATCGTTTGCAATTTTCTTGATATATTAATCAACAACGTTTCTAAATGCTTCAAGCTAAAATTCATAGGACAATGGTCTGGTACTCCGCATGCAAAACACGGTAAGAAGTTTTCATAGCAACTAAATGTTTTATACTCCATTCTAAAAAAAATATTGACCTTAAAAACAAATCTTTGGATTCAAATATCTACACAAATATACTATTAAATTAAAAATTGTTCATCTTAGTTTGTCCAGCTTTTTGATCTTTCCCTGAGATGATCACACGGGTCTTTTACACTGTGGTAAGGTGAACAACTATTTATTCTGTTCACTTTTATTTATTCTTCTCTTTCGACGACGAATGTTTATGTTCTGCTTCTCTAACCTGTATTCTTCACTTAGTCTGTCCGGTGTACGATTTGTTGCAGTCTTCACAAGATATCTTGTATACTCCTTGATTTTTTCTTGTATACTGCTTGATTTTTCAATGCAATTTTTGTTTTTTCAAATGGTAATATAGTTACCATTACCAAATAATGCCTGTATAGTAATACAGAAGTGGCAACCGCTAACAGAAAACGAAAATCCAAAATACGTGTAGAATCATCAAACATGCTGAAACAAAGAAAAGATCTGACACAAGACAAAAGAGACACTGCAAAATTTAAGGAACTTAATCGAGTAATAAGAAAACAGATAAAAGAGTACATTAAAAATCATCAAGAAGACACGTATAGAACAAGTCATAGAGAAAAACCGAAGTCTCAAATGCACCAAACCAAAAATAGGAAAGAAAAACCTAATAACTATAAAAAATGAACAAGGGCAACTAGAAAAAAGTAAATCTGATATAGCAAACTCAATTGAAAATTTCTACGCCGATCTGTATCGTTCCAGAAACGATTTCCTAACTCCTCAAAGCAGAACTTAAAAAGGCAGATAACAAATGTCAACTCAGAAGTGATGCCCGAAATAAGCCACGAAGAAATAGAAAGAGCAGTAAAAGAAATAAAAAGGAATAAAGCCCCTGGAAGCGATAGAATCCTATCAGGAAGGCGGAGAAGAAGCCATCACATATCTAAAAATACTATTTAATAAATGTCTTTTCGAAGGCAACATACCGAACAGTGGAATACTGCTAAAACAATACTAATACACAAAAAAGGAGACATCACATACCTGAAAAATTATCGACCAATTTCATTTCTTTCGCAACTTTACAAAACCTTTACAAAGATTGGCATTAGAAGAAGCATTAGTCAACAATACTGCAGGTAGAGAATATTAATACATAATATTCACGAAGAAGCTGAAATGATAGTGACGTTGGGTAATGAAATCGAAACAAGACGAGTAAAAATCAACCGACGCGTAAGACAAGGAGACACAATATCTCCAAAATTATTTACAGCTGCCCTAGAAGATATCTTTAAGTCAATAGACTGGGAAAATAAGGGAATCCCTATTAACGGAAGGTACTTGAACCATCTTAGATACGCAGATGATGTAGTACTAATAGCCGACACGTGAAATGCACCGAATACCATGATTGAGGAGCTACACACACAATCCCTAAAAAAGGACTGAAAATGAATTTCAGCAAAACTAAACAAATGTCAAACAAAGATGACAAACCTATGATAAACATACAAGGGACAGAGATAAAACACGTAGATGAATGTACATATCTGGGTCAAATGTCAAGGTAAGCAAAGAAAATCAGACTACCGAAATAAGCAGACGTGATGCAGAAATAAGCAGAAAAATGGGATGGGCAGCATTCGGAAGACTCTCATACGTACTTAAAAATAAAAATATACCTCAAAGACTGTGAACCAAAGTATTTCTGTATCCTACCTGTACTTACATATGGAGCTCAAATCTAGACATTCACTAAATTAACATGGAGAAGATCAGAAAAACTCAGAGAGCTATGGAACGACAGATGCTGACCATAAAGCCAATGAAGATATTCGTAATAGAACAAAAGTAAAAAATGCGGTCGAACAAGTAGCTAAACTGAAATGGAAATGGGCTAGACATAATAAACGTCTTAAGGATGGACGATGGAATAAATAAATTGGGAATTGGCGGCCATATGAAGCCAAAAGACCACGAGGAAGACCACAGATGCGGTGGAGCGACGATATCAAAAGAACTGCAGGACCAATTTGGAAACGTCTTACAAACAACAGAGATGAATGGCGAGAATTAGGAGAGGCCTATTTTAGGAGAAGAGAATTCGGTAATTCGAATAGAGAGAAGACTGTTTTGTTGGTGTTAAATATTGTTTCTATTTTATTTTTCCTTAGAACTACTGATTTTATCTGTGGTAGCCATGGACGTATAAACACAGATGGACTCAGTTATTTACATAAAATTGTGAAGTCAAAATTATTTGAATAGGTCACATTCTGAGCACCTTCAAGTGTTGTCACGTTTTGTTTTAAAATTTCTTATTCGTGAGTCGCTGAAAATATTACTCCGTATTTTATACTCTACAGGTGCTATCAAACCAAAATAATAATTTATTGGTTATTCGCTGTGAGCTTCGCCGGTAGCGCTATCTCGCGGTTTGAAACTTGTACTTTTCTTGTAAAATCGGTGTAAGTGAAATATGACAAAACGAGAAAAATAGATATTTATCTAAAAATACAAAGTTATGAACTAAAATATTATTGTAAACTGATTACTGAACGAATATACAGAATTATTAGTAAAAGTAATTACGCCTTTTTATTTTATTCATTATAATTTTAATATTTAAGATATAAGTTCCTGCGACTGGATGACTACTTACGTAAGAGGCCATGGAGAAAAAGAAGAACTTTATGTGAAAATATTTAATGGTTAAAGGTTACCTTTACCTCTCGTAACCATGATACTATGACTAAGCAGATAAGATAACGCATAAGTCGTGACGTCATTGGAGAGTTGCACGTTCGAAATGTCAGTTTTTTGTGTGTATCAATAAATAATCTTTAATAAATAGTTTGGAGATATCCTTATGTGTACGATTATTGTAATTATTAAACCTCTTAACTTATCTTCGTCTAGTAATTTCATCACAGAATGCATACAACTCCCATTTAACTTTAACAAGAATTCAAATTCTACTCTCCAATGACGGCATGCGTGAACACGACCGATTTTGTGCTACGGGACTGTTAGTCATAGTATCATGCTTGTAACGTTGTAATTCTTGTTTTCATTTTGCATTTTCATTCTGTTTTTGCTGTTATTTTTTGTGTGCTTAGGCCTTAGTGCTTAGATATCAATCTATTTTAATTTTATCAAAATGGATATTAAACATTATACTGGTTTTAAATCTATATCACATGATATCCCATTTTAACCAGCTACACCAAAAATCTTATTGATAGCAATAATCCATTTTTCTCTTTGAACTACATATTTTATGCTTGGCAACAGGAAATGAATAAAATTTACAATCACTTATACCCAGTATTTTTACATGTATCAATACAACAGCTGCTATATCTTTTTCTTTTTGAAAAATCCATATTCGCCATTATTTGAATGTTTACAAGTTAAATGCACAAAACTGCCACTAACAGCGTTGGTGAAAACTGTCAAATCCCCTCTACTCATCGGCTCACAGCGAATATTAATATATTTAATTGTAATCAAAATATCAGAATATTAGAATGAAAAATAAACAAGCAAATTTAACATTTGTTAACATATATGCCCCTACTGAGAATGCTCCTGAAGAAGAAAAGAATGAATTCTATGATAAACTTGAAGAATTGTACGAAGAAATACCAAAGAACGACATACTAATCCTATTAGGAGACTTCAACGCAAAGATAGGGAAAGAAGACACGAACAGAGAAATCGCAGGAAAAGAAACAATCCATCAAAATACGAATAACAATGGCAGGAGAATATGTAATCTAGCAGCAGCAACCAATACTTTTATTATTAGCACTCAATTCAAGCACAAAAAAGAGCACAAAGTAACGTGGCTTATACCTGGAACAACAGATGGAAACCAAATAGACCACATCCTAATCTCAAAAAAATGGAGAACAATTTTTCAGAATGTAAGGTCTTACAGGGGAGCCAATGCTGATTCGGATCACATTTTGGTGATAGGCGACATGAAATTGAAGATACTTAAAGATAAAAACGACAGAAAGAAAAGAAAGAGGTGGAATCGGTCGAAACTAAATACAGATAATGCAAACAGAAAATTCTGCACTAAATTGGAAGAAAAACTACTAGTCCTAAAACCATCGAACATAGATAAAACATGGAAAGACATAAAAGATAGTATCTTAACAACAGCAGAGGAGACGATAGGACTAATGGAAAACAATAAAAGAAAGGATTGGTACGATGAAGAATGCGAGCAAGCTAGTAAAGACAAGGACAAAGCAAGACACAGGTGGGTGGCCACAGGGAAACAAGAAGATCTCCTACACTATAAAGAGAAGAAGAAAGAGTCAGACAAATGCTGCAAAAGAAAAAAGAAGAAATGGATCGAAGAATTACTGCAGGAACTCGAAGCCAATAGTAATGACAATGCAAGACTATACAAATACATAAAATCACAGAGAAAAAAAGAGATACCAGCAAATATTGGAAAAATAGAATGGGAAACACACTATAGAGAACTGTTTAAAAAGAAAGACGATGCTGAAAACGCAGAAAATGAAGAACAAACAGAAAATAGAAATGGAGAACAATCAGAGCCTCCCTCATACAGCGAAATATTGGCGACTATAAACAGATTAAAGACAAGGAAAGCAGCAGGACCAGACGATATTATAAATGAGTTCTTTAAGAATGGGGGAGAGGAACTAGCCCACAGAATCCACAACCTAATAGAACGAATATGGGAAGAAGAAAGCATGCCGAACGACTGGAATTGTGGTCTGATAACACCAATCCCTAAAAAAGGCGACAAGACGAAATGCACTAACTACAGGGGAATCACGTTATTAAATACAATGTACAAAATATTAACTAATTTGATCAGACAAAGAATAGAAAAAGAAACTAGAACAAAAATAGGTGAATACCAACATGGATTCAGAGAAGGTAAGTCAACAATAGATGCAATACACATTGTAACGCAAATAGTCGAAAAAAGTTACGAGCACGGAATAGATCTACATATACTGTTTATTGACTACAAGCAAGCTTTTGACAGTGTAATAAGGGAGGAGCTAATTAAGGATATGAATCAATTAGGCATCCAAGAAAAATTAATAAGTCTCACGAAAATGACGATGAAGGAATCCAATGCACGAATCTTAACAAAGGAAGGCCCGTCAGATGAAGTACAAATGGAGGTAGGTGTCAGACAGGGAGACTCCCTGTCAACAACATTATTTAACATTGCCATAGAGGGCGCAGTAAGAGCAGCCAAAATTATGGGAACGATTATCGAATCTTCAGCCCAACTGATTGCGTATGCAGACGATATTGCACTGGTTACTAGAGATTTAAAAACCATGCAGAACATAATATTAATACTAGATAAAGAAGCAAAGAAGAGAGGGCTAGTAATAAACCAAAGCAAAACGAAATACCTCAAGTGTTCAAGAGAGAATACGAATATAGAGAAAGAAATTAAGCTTGGTGCATATACATTTGAAAGAGTACACCGTTTCAAATACCTGGGAGTGATGGTAAATGACAGAAATGATAGAACAGATGAAATAAATGAACGCATCCTACTGGGTAATAAAACCTACTGGAACTACCAAAAATTCTTGAAAGAAAAACACATTAGTAAGAAAACCAAATTAAAAATTTACAAGACTGCAATCAGGCCAGTGATCACCTATGGTGCAGAGACGATGTGCCTAACACAAAAAGATGAAATGAGGTTAGAAATCTTAGAGAGAAAGATAATTCGACGAATAATGGGGCCGGTGAGGATAAGTGTAGGCGAATTTAGAAGATTAACCAATGAAGAAATTAAAGAAGTCATCGAGGGTGAAGACATAATCAAGTTCGTTAAGATGCAAAGGCTCAGGTGGCTGGGGCACACAGAAAGAGCTAACCCAACTCTACGCTAAAGCGAATAACTGGATGGAGACCAACAACAAAGAGACCAAAGGGGAGACCCAAAACAAGATGGAGAGATCAAGTCTTAGGAGACATAAAGAAGCTGAGAATCTACAATTGGAAGGAGCGCTGTAAGGATCGGAAAGAATGGAGGAAAATTGTAGACAGGGCCAAGTCACACACGCTGCTATAACAATAAAAAAAAACAACAGCGGACTGATTCTCCGCAATAAATGAATCAGAGAGCCCAAAAGGGCGGCAAACACTCCGCCAGGAGTGAATAAGCCATGATGATGATGATGATGAATCAAAATATCAAGTGTGCACATAGTGTGCATTATTATTTAATAATAGCCTATAATAGATATCAATCAATTATTTTATATGTAGAAGCACTGAAAACTATTTATAAATGGCAACGGTTGTTTACATTTCTCTGTCTTATGGATCTACGTCAAACTTCAAATGCTGTTCCATGTTTGTTTACATTTTATAGTAAATGAGGAAAAAGTTATTTTTCGATATTTTGGCTGTATTTTGAGTGATATTTGTGAAAAGTGAAATAAAATAAACGAAATATTTACATCCCGATCTCTCATTTCATTTGTAAGTACATACAATTTACATTATTTAAGATGAGGAAATGAGGAAGCGTGTTTGTTTACATTTTAAAAGGCGTACCATTGGGTTTATTCATGTTCATTAATGTATTGAATAAGATCATGAAATTAGTAGACATTTATAAATTGTAAGTAGACATCATCTGATTAAAAAAGATCTGTTTAGTACCTTTTTAATTTAATATTTCTCATGGATACAAATAAATTAGTGAAATGAATAAAATTCATTTATTTTTCTATGTAGGTTTCCAAATAATATTGACGATCGAACTATTTGGGTAGCAAATTAAGGAGAAAACATAAAGATTTTTTATTGTAGCATTATTTTGATACTATTAAAAAATTAACTTGAATTCAACTATATTTAATTGTATTAATTTTAAAGCAAATATAATTGTATTTTAATTTTTCTATAAAGACGTGATTTGTTAATAGTTAAACTCTGGTTTTTTTTTTAATTCTTTGAACGTGTTTTTATACATTATTACTACTTCCAATTTTTAAAATCTGAATAATTACCCGAGAGTAAAAATTCAAGCACGCTTATACTCATTGCGGAAGCATCACATTCTATCTAAGCTTCAAAACATTGTGTGTTAAAGGTATCTTATTGCTGTGTCCATCTATGTTTATACGTCCATGGTGGTAGCCTTTACATAGGGCAGGATAGTTTTACCAATTGGTTACTATGGTTACACTTTATATATATATATATATTATATATATATATATATATATATATATATATCTGATACTGGGTCAATGAAATTGGGTTTTATTGAAAAAAATTACCATGATAAGCTGATCAATTTAATATAACTTCCCACATCGGAGTATTTAATAGTTAGGAGCAATAATATTTTGCTTAATCCAAAATATATCTTACCTGGCTGGGCGTATTACAACAATATGGCTGGTAAGAAATCTGTGCTGTAAGATTTTAGCTGTATTTTCCAAATTCCACTGGACGTAATTTTTATTATCTCTGTGACTGAGCATGTTTTCTGTGAAGTCCTACAAAATAATACTATTTACGGTTACAAGTAAGACTGAAAAAAGTTGTATTGCCAGCCATTATACATATACAAAGCAAGAGCTACCTCCGTGACATCCATTTCGTAACTGAAAAGAAAAATTAATGTAGAAAACCTGACCAGAGGTGCGGCCAACGTAAAAGCAGCTTGTTGCTGGCATTGTAGGTCAAAATCGATGCCGCCAAGGTCCGACCAGTGGTCGTGGCCCGAGCCGCTGTAGTGCGCGTTAGCTCTTAACAGACTGATCATTCGGCAACTGTTTACGTTAGGTTTCTTAAAATAATAAATCTAATGCTCAGCGAAGCATGTTAAGGTGACTATATAGGTGGCTTTCAATGGTACGAAACAGCGAGGTAAGCTACAGAAGCAAGGCTGGAACAAATTACTCCACGGTATGTATACTATTCTACATACAACATTATAATTTATTATAATTTAATAAATTATTTTAAAATGTATACAAATGAGACATTTGAAGGTTAGAAATTTATGACCGAAATTAACCGATGGTAAGTCCTCTTACATGGTTATTCTATGGTTTCTCATTTCAATAAATATTGTTTCCTGGTTTCTGTTTTCGTTTATCCTTTGCCATTGCATTATTCGTCATCAATTGAATTCATTCTGGTTGTGAAGCAGCTTCAGCACTGTGTACCTAAATGTCTTTCTCGAGGCAGGGGGCTAAACCAACAACCTGATCGGCAGCATGATCCTGAACTATTAAATCCACTGAGTTATGCAGTCGATTATAAGTAAAAGATAAATTTACTGTTTTATGACCATATACATAAATTTTGAATATGATAAAGTCATTACCTGAACATCTCCGCCGAAGAATACACAGAGATTTGGGTTTTCTATAACATTTTGAGGTCTGCAATACACTATATCGTTGCATCTTTGTTCGTACCCGGAAATATTAGTTAATCGTACAATATCTGGTAGTTTTTTGCTGGTCATAGATTAAAAACTTGATGCAGTACCTGCAAGATAAAGTAATATACTTAGACTGTTGATTATGTACGTCAGAACTACAACGTTAAAGGAGTTTTATTGTTTCGTATGGTCAAATATGAAAAAATTGCTAAAATTTAAAGGGGTGCATTTTGAGAAAGGGGTGAATTTGTCCGTTTTGGACTAGGACGCATTTGTGTGAATTCTATGCAGTTTTCGTACATATAAATGTACAGAAAATTTGTTCAAAATTAAATTTCCTATCGGAATGTCACCTTTAAAGTTTTTTTTGTCAACAATATATTTAAAAAACGAAGCAAAAACAGGAACACACAAGATTTTTATTTTTTTATATATATAGAATAAATTTTTTAAATACAAATATGTGTTATAGTAATTCAATAAATAGCCAACTAGACGCACCAAAATATTGGCGAGTTTATGCGACTCGGTTGCACGTTCCGTTGTTACCACTTTTGTTTCTAATACGCGTGATGGTCCGTAGGCTATCGGTCTGGACCGGCTCGTGTCTGAAAATTTTGAAAACGCGAGGTAGTGGGCGCGCTGTGGATATTAGTAGGCTTGCTATAGTAGCCTCGTATTTCCGTGAGACTGTGCAAAAATATATGTATCTGTAATAAAATCATTCAACAAAAAGGTACTCTACCAGGAGTCTGTAAAATTATCAATGACTTAGACGTATAATAATACAAAGTTAATATATGAACCAGATATGAACAATCAACCAATTATGTTTCCATCGAACTTATGATAAGTCCACGTGGACTAACGGCCAATGAAAACATCGGATATCGCTGTTATGACAAATCATAATGCATTATCTTTTGTTGGTAGACTTATTCATACTTGGGGTAAGACATGGACGTATACGTCCATGGGGTAAGATTATATCAGTATTTGACTGAGCTTACGGAGTCATAAAATAAGGGATCAGGTTTCGACACTGGACGGGGAAAACTTACGTAGGCAAATTTTTATAATATTTTATTTTTAAATTGCGGATATGACCAACAGATTTTTGGGAGACAAGAATATTTTTAGTAAAATCATAACTGCTACAGCGTTCAGTTAAATTCAAATTTCAAATAGTGAACCGCAAGTTAGTTTGGTAGTGACTTTTTTCAGTGTTCTTTATACGGAAAACATTTTATATTTTACGTTTTTTACTTTTTTTGATACGTTTTTACGTGTGATTATGTTTTTATACGTTTGATAATTTTAAAATATTGCGTCCGTGGTGCGATAATAATTATGTAGCTGAAGAGACTATGGAACCCTCTAATCGATTGGAAGATTTACAAAGGCGTGTAGTAAAACGTAAGTGACATTTTCAATACCTTTCTGATGATGCCAAACGTATGCTAAAAAATGTTTATGAAGGACTGTGTGCTGAATTGTCTAAATCAGAGGCAATTGCAGAAACATGTTTTTAACCAGAGTGCCCAAAGCAACCTGCTACAAAATTATAGGAGAAACACCTTCTTCTAGACAGAAGAGAAAGGATTGTGGCAAATTCAGAAAAATAGAACCGCACTTAATTGAATCTATAACTAGAACAATATACCAAATGTATGCGGCTAATATTTTTCCAACTATTGAAAGCCTTCGAAGTGAATTAGTTCGAAAGTGCATTCTCTCGTGTTCAGCAACAACACTTCGATTATTTCTTAAAGCCAATAATTTTAAGTACAAAACTATAGACAAGAGACAGACATTAATGGAAAGTACCAGAATAATTTCTTTAAGAAACAATTATATCAGACAGATAACTGAGTATCGAAAAATGAAACGAAATATTGTTTATTTAGATGAGACATGGTATGATACTCATGACACTGTGACAAAAAAAGTTGGACAAATAATAACAAAGTGTTTCAACTCAGTACCGCCCAATAAAAGAAAGAGGATTATAATTTTACACTGCGGTGGAGAAAATGGATGGGTCGACGATACATTATTAATATCTACAAAACAAATTAAAAACGCGTCTCTGGATTATCATGACGTTATGGAAAGTTCAATTTTTGAATCATGGTTTGAAAAATGTCTTCTTCCGAAATTACTTAAAGATAGTGTGATTATCATGGACAACGCATCATATCATTCAAGATTAATGAAAAAAACTTCAAATAATAGTTGGAATAAATTAAAAATTCAGGAATTTTTATTCACGGAAGATTTGTATTTTGAGACATGTTATATTAAAAAGCAATTGTTGGAGGTTGTTCATAGTACACAGTACGAAAAGGAATATGTTGTTGACAACTGTGCTCGTAATAACGGGCATACTGTGTTTAGACTTCCTCCTTATTATTGTACATTGAACCCAATAGAGTTAATATGGGCTCAACTTAAAGGAAATATAATGAGAAGAAACGTTGGTCCAAAATTTTTTGTCTACTGTTCTCCAGTTAATTAGAAGAGAAGTCACAAAAATTACAGCAACCAACTGGAAAAATGTAATAAAAATAAAACATGTGATCGGAGTGGAAAATGACTATGTTAAATATTTACCAGCATTAACCAAATTACCTATAAGTTTAGATGATACGAGTGATACTAGTGATAACAGTGATTCTGAGTAGATAGTAAGTACTTATTAGGTGTTAGTTTAAACCTTTATTTCTATTTTAATTGTAGATATTCTCATTTTGCTTATATATCTTTGAAAACAGGGTATAAACACACTTCTTGATAGAACAAAAATTATTAATGTTTTAGGGGAGTATGTCAACTGAAACTGTCACTGTCATTCTCGCTGAATAACTAGAGGAGAAGGTGGGAATATGGCCCATGCTGGTAAATCGGCCCCCGAGTGAATTTGTTACTTCCGCCAATGCGAATGTTGATTTACACTTGATACTACATCTATCTTTATCTAACGAAACTTGTCAGGACCCGAGAACTACCGCGCTTAGCCTTTAGTCGACTTAAACAGCTCGCTTCATTCACGTGCTTAACAAAACTTTTTGCTGCTCTTGTGTTTATGTTGTTTTTTCCAAGAAACCAGTTATAAACATTATCTTTCTCTGATTAGTGTGTAGAAAAACCGTTGCATATCGACTTTTAAAGGTAGCTATGAACATTTTGCAATAGATATAACTTGTTTTTGATATTTTGTTTATAATGTAACTATTTATTTAATATGGCCCCCTGAATGTGTATGCATTATGGACCCGGGTTCATATTAAATACACATTGAGGGGGCCATATTACATGTTTGCATTTTATTATTTCCAGATGCCTCGTACTAACCTTTCTCCTAAATCTGAGAAAAAAAAGAGGAAATTGTGGAGTCCTAACGACATGAAAAAGGCAATAGAGGCTGTTCGTAATAAGCATATGGGTTTTAAGAAAGCAGTCAAAACATTTGCTGTACCAAGAACTACGTTAAGAAGGCTAGTTCATGATCCTGAGTTATCATTGGATATGTTAGTACGAAAACCGTTAGGTAGAAAAACTATTTTACCTTTATCTCTGGAGAAACAATTAGTTGATTATCTTTTGCAAATGGAGCGCACCTTTTATGGACTTACACGCTTGGATGTTAGGCGAATGGCTTATCAATTAGCAGTCAGAAATAACATCCAGAATGCATTTCAAAATGAAAGAGCAGGTAGAGCATGGCTCGACCATTTCTTAAATAGACATAAAAAGCAATTATCTCTCAGAAAACCAATGGGAACATCTTACGCTCGAGTGCAAGGATTCAATCGCCCTGCTGTTAAGGAGTTTTTTCATCTGTTAGAAGTTGAATATGCAAGAAAAAATTATTCTCCCGACCGTGTCTATAACGTAGATGAAACTGGACTCACAATCGTGCAATCAAAAGTACCGCAAGTAATAGGACGAAAAGGTAAAAGGCAAATAGGGGCGTTAACTGCAGCAGAACGCGGATCTTTAGTGACGTTGGTGTGCGCAATGAGCGCAGGAGGGACTTTCATCGCACCAATGTTAATTTTTCCAAGAAAAAATTTTACAGATGTATTAATGAAAGGGGCTCCGCCAGGAGCAATCGGAAAAGTACACCCTTCCGGTTGGATACAAACCAATTTATTTTCTGAATGGTTCAATCATTTTGTATCAAAGACCAATCCAACAGAGGATTCTCCGGTCCTTCTTATACTTGATGGACATTACAGCCACACTCGTAATGTTGATATTCTAGAAGTTGCTCGTGAAAAGCATGTCACCATTATTAGCTTGCCTCCTCATACTACGCACAAGCTGCAACCGCTTGACAAAACATTTATGGGTGCACTTAAATCTCATTATAGTGAGGAAATAAGAAAATTTCTGTTACATTCTGACAGAATGCTTAAGCCTCATGATATTGCTGAGTTATTGGGTAAAGCTTACTTAAAATGTGCAACAGCTGAGATCGCAGTAAATGGTTTTAAAGCGACTGGAATATATCCCTTCAATCCTCAAATTTTTAAGGATGCTGATTTTCTAGCAGAGTCACAATCGCTTCAAATGGAAGAGGAAAATATATCATCGAATACAACGTCTTCGATGATGAACCCAACTAAGTCGTCTGTCGAAACTGCTACATCAACTGTAGAATCGTCGCTCCAACCCACTTCATGCACTGTTCCTGAATCCTCCATTCAACTGAAGTCATGTGCTCCAAGCACGTCAACATCAGATTTAGTATCTCTTCAACCCAAATCATCTAACGAGCATGGAAGACTGTTAACTATAAAATCTTCTGTCTTCTATTCAAAACCAGGAACATCATCAGCTGTAAACCCTTCGCTTATACTACCCCATCAAATATCACCAATACCCAAGCCTAAAATAAAAACCTCAAATCGAGGAAGAAAATCAACAAAAGCCACTGTAATTACATCATCGCCTTATAAATATGAATTAGAACAATCTCTTAAGAAAACTGAAGACCGTAAACAGAGTTGTGGACGCGGAAAGGGACGAGGACGAGGTCGAATTTGCAAAAAAGCCCAAGGGGAAGTTCGGAAACGTATTACCGTCGAAGATTCTGACACCGAAGAAAGTGATCTTTCCAATATTGAAGAGGATACAGATTCCGAACTAAGTTCACAGGGTTCAATTCCTGATAACGACGACGCCATGTGCATCTTTTGCGAGGAGTCTTATTCAAGTAATAGCAGAGGGGAGACTTGGATACAGTGTCAGAGCTGTCTTTTGTGGGCACACAATGAATGTGCCGGTGCCGAAACTGAACATTATGTTTGCGATTTCTGCCGATAGATTTTTGTATTCATTTAATATGGCCCCCTGGGGGGCCATATTAGAGTGACGTTTTTGTTTTTTACAGTTTTCTAGATACTGACAAGAATAATTTTTTTATATATTAGATCTTGATTTTTTTTATTTTTTTCAATAATATTGTATTAGTATTAAACTAATAGTTATGTGGATGAAAATTAAAATTTAAAAATGTTGATTGTTTATAATCTCTAGTCGAAAAACAAATTAGGGGGCCGTATTCCCACCTTCTCCTCTACTATTATTAACAATGTTTTATATAGATATTATTATTTTACAATAAGTTCTGTTCAGTCGAGTCGATTAGTGTTATCATTCCCAAGATATATCACAGAAGTTAAAAACACCGATATTTTTTATTTAAACTTTATAGAAAATGAAACTTTTTGGTAAATAAAATTAAATAAAAGTAAAAACTTTTATTTAATTTAAAATTAGATATCTACGCTACTTTCTACTACTATGTACTACAATAAAGTAGTGGTAACTCTAACAGCGTTGCCATTTTACTAGTATTTTACTTGCTTTGGTCTCTGTAAATTTTCTCACGAAATTACGTGCCAACTATACCATTATTTGCTTTGGTTACTTATTCGTTAATACCTATTACAGTGTACGTGTAATAAAACATGGATGAGTGTCGCTGCGTAATCGATCATAGACAAGGCGAAAAGCTCGGGTTAGTTCTGAAAAATATTTCATATACAAAAGTTAGCAAAAATGAGCAATACTTAAGAAACTGGGATGACGAACTATTCTTGGCCCAGATTTAGAAAAATGTTTGGTGGACTATATCCTTCAAATGGAAGCGAAATTCTATGGTTTAACGCGGGCATTTAATCTGACTGAATCAAATGGTTTAAATCATTCCCTTATGCAGTTAAAAAAGCTGGTAGAAGTTGGCTAGATTTGTTCTTGGCGCGTCATAAAAATACATTGGCTTTAAGGAGACCAGCTGGAACGTCTTTTGGACGGGCAGCTAGCTTTAACATAGAGAATGTTCGAATATTTTTGATCATCTGAAAAAAGATTATGATAAATACAATTTTTCCAGTAATCAGGTTTACAACGTAGATGAAACAGGCCTAATCATTGTGCAAAATAAAATTGCAGCAATAATGGAGCGTAAAGGAAAGAGATAAAAGAGCATCGCTGACTTCGGCTGAGAGAGGATCACTTTAATTGCGTGTATGAGTACTCGAGTGAATTTTATACCACTCATGTAAATCTTCCCAAGAACGAATATGAATGGGCAACTCCTTGATCGATATCAGCTGTTCATCCTAGTGGTTACATATAGATTGTTCTGGTGCAGAAAGAGACGAATATGTATGTGAATATTGTACATACAAAATTATAAAATAAAAATATTTTTATTAGTAGCCCATATTTATATCGCCTTTCCGTTTCTTACTTAAATGACACCGTGGTGTTTTTATGACATTACAGAAAAAAATATCTTACTAGACAGAAAAGCGGACTAGCACAAAAGAGCAAAATAATTCTACATGCCAATTATGTAATTTGAACTTTTTTGATAAAAAAATAGTCAAAATATCAGCAATAAACAAAATGGTAGCCCATATTTGTGCTTTCTCCTCTAACAATTGATTTTTTTTGGCGCGTACAATTTTTTTTTATTTTATGGTTCATTCTAAATAAAATAAGTCTCTTGTAGTTTTTTGTAAACTTGATCGCATCCGAGTTACAAATAATTTAAAACTGACAAAAACGCAAAATTACGATTTTCAAGGCTCAAAAACAAAAGTAAAAAACAGGACAGGAATAGAAAAAAAGTTTTAAAACACTTCAATTTGCTACAAATGTCTGATAAATTTTTTTGTATTGTTGCTAGTTTAGGAGAACAGCAACGTTTTAGGTTTTGGCCAGGGACAAGGGTGGCAACCCCACAAACTTAAACTTAAGCTTATACTTACCCCCCAACATTTCAAAAAAATAAAATGAAGACTAAGGCATAAAAAATGTAAGATTTTAATGGACTAATATAGTTAATTTATAGTATAGATAATTGTAAAAGCGTCATTTATCACTTCCGCAAATTTTAATTTGCGTAATAATATAGGTAATTAGTTAAAAAGCACAAAGAAATTACCTCAAAAGCCTTGAGAGTATGTACTGAAAAAAACTTGATTGCGGGTAGATCAAATGCACTTAAATATTAATGAAATTGGTATTTATTATTTCTGACGTTTATAAAAATATATAAAAGTTTTATCTTTAATAGTACACCTAATAATACTTTTGTTCACCACCGCACTGTTTTAGAACTCAGTAGTACTCCTCTTGTTCACCCCGAATTTTTTTACAGCACTCAATAATCCTAAGTCTAGTATCTTCTACACACTGCGCAAAATCTTCTCTGATATTCTTAACTTTCTCTCTGATTTCTTCCCTCATTAGGTTATAACACATAGCTACAAGTCCTAAACCGAAAAATATGTAGATATAACTCAGAACTAACTTGGAATGTCCTTCTGCTTCGTTGTAAACAGTCCCAGTTCCAGGCACAAAATCGCCCATTCCAATCTTGCACAAACTCGTAACGCAAAAGTAAATGCTATCGAGAAAACCCCAACCCTCCCAGGCACTGAAAATCGCAGCACCAGCTAACACGTATATAATCATCACCCAAATGCAAGCGCTAGAAGGCACTATAATCCTTTTGGGAATCTCATCCGCGTCTTCAGGCTGAGTTGAGCATTTGTACATTTTTCTGTATATCCATCTAAAAGTTAAAAATTACAGGTTAGTTAAATAGAAAAGATAATGTTCAACAGGGTTTGTTAACTTTACTATTTCTAAAGGACTTATGTGAACATCAAAAAAGAAATAATTATAAGCAAATAAAACAAAATCTTAACCGCTAAAATGAGCATGTAGATTTTCACAATTCGACTAAGAAAACAACAAACTTGTACCAGAATTTGGCCGCCTTAGGAAATTCAGAAGAGATAAAAAACTATAATATATCAATTTAAGAGAAATCCGTTCTAGAATGAAGACTATGATGCAGCAAACGTCACAGACAGGCCTAATGTAGAACAATCCATAGAAGCCTCAAACACACCGTTTGAACAGCAACCATCAACTTATTCTTGTACTTTTAGAACTCCTTAACCTATAACTGTTATTGCAACTTCCGCCTCTCCATTATTTCCTGTTGAGGCTGTTCAACCATTTCCGAAGGCACCAGCTAGAAGTAGAAAATGACGCAATAAAAAGCGAGGCAGGTCTAAAATTATTACTGAAATACCAGAAAAACGAGGTCTTAGCTTAGAGCAACAGAAAATAGATAAGTAAAATAAATTGAAACATCTAGCGACAATGATTAATTTTCAGTTCATGATTGCTATTCCGATAATTGATATGATAATGAATGTGTTTTTAATGTGTTTCGAAGACCTGTCTGTAGATGACTACATTGATAATTTTGTAAAAAAAAACTGTTGTCCACCACGTTGCAAAAATTAACGAAAAAGCGCATAGTGAATTACACGTGTCATTTATGAGAAAGAAAGGATCAAAATTCTATTTTCCTGAAATTAAGGATATTTTCACAATATAAATAGTCGATGTAGTTCAGCAACTGCCATCTTCCTCCAATACGAAGGGCACCGAAAGAACCCAATCTTTAATTTTATTTGGGTTTAACCAAAGCCAATTTCATTTCGATAAATTAATGTCATTATTTTTTTTACTATTTTATAAAGTTTTGTTGATTTATGTAATGTGTGCTAACATTGTTCAAAAGTACCCTATGCAATGTTCAAAAGTGCCCCATGGGGGTACCTTTCAGTATTGGTTTGAAAAAAAAATAATTTATAATGTATAGTTGGAAAAACATTCAAATACTTACAAAATATATACCAGTAGGCTACAGAAGAATAAAATATTGTTTATGTTTTCATTAGAAGCGTGGAGAGCTGTAGAAAAAAATGTTGACATGTGCCCCCTCTCCCGTATAATTATTATAATAAACTATCTATCTATCCATCTGTCTATCTATCTACCTATATATCTATAATGTTTTAAAGGTAAGCTCCTTTGCCAACATACAATAACATTTGGCTAATATCCTTCGAGTGCTTAGAAATCAGGACTGTATGACTGTACGACTGTATGAGTGCAACTCTGTCCTCGAAGACATACCGTCTCAGGACTAGCAACTTCAACGTGGAGTCATATGTCGCCATGTTACCTAATCCATCGATAACTCTATAATCCTAAATCATTATAACATTATTTTAAAACTAAATGTAATTAAACATCTGTTATCGGGTTTTTACCCACATATTTAATCTTGGTGGCTACATTCATGTACTCCTAGACACTGATGATGGAACATGGTTTCCGAAAACGTTTTGTCTTTTTAACTTAGCCCGTTTGGGCATAAAATATACCTATTACAAAGGATTTTTAATTAAATTTTTAATACATGGTATACAGCCAACTACAGGAACGTAGATTCCTTGTGAATCATATAATAATTTAAACCATTTAAACCTAAACATACGATCGAAAGAAATAGTTCCGAACTACTTGTAGAACTAGTGAACTAGTCTACGGTAGTGAACTAGTGAAAGACTGACTGAGACTGAACCGACCGAAGAAAACGGGCGGCCGACATCTGGCAACCAGTTATGTTAGGGTTGGATTTCGATTTCGGTCCTACAAATAGTTCTTTCGCGAACTAATTCACTGAACTAGTTCATTTTTTTGAAATAGTTCTCTTGAACTAGTTCGTCTAAAAGAACTAATAAGCACACCTCTATTCGTAGGGGTAACCGTAATGCATGTGGTACCTTACGTTGACTACAATTTAAACGAATTTATTTTTATGCGGGACAATGCAAGAATCGTGCAAGATTTTATTACTGAAGTCGGTTTTCGGGTCATGGAATGACCACCGTGCAGTCCAGACCTCAATCCAAGAGAACATTTATGGGATGAGCTAAAACAAAGAATTCGAGCTAGGCTTCATACCCCAAACTCTATCCCAGAACTTATCGTCACAGTAGAAGAAGAGTGGCTTAACATCCCCCAAGAAACAATAGCGACTATAGTATATCTAATAGGACTTGACTAGAGCTATGCCTAATCATAGTTATTAATGCAAGAGTAGGTCATACGCATTATTAGAACATTAAATGTTTAATTTTTAATTGTCAAACACCCTTTTTGTGTTGGCAATAAAAAAAGTTAATTTGCTTGATGCATTAATTTTACAACATAAGAAGTCGAAATAAATTTTCATAAATGTATATTCATATTAAAGCATATTAAATTATAGTATATCCCTTTTTCGATCCAGGTAATAGTTTCTGAAAAAAAGATAGTTCAAGTCGAAAAGTTTAAAGTGGGATTTCTATGTACGCAAGTGTCACTGAATAAATATGAAAAATTAAGGCAAAAAGTCTCACTGTTTCATTTATAAAGACTAAAGCTACGTGTAAGCATGCAAATATTCAAAATTAATATTATTTTTGATGTTCACTGTATGCCCTAATAAAACTAAAATCTTTCGTTAAGTAACTTACCTGAAACTGCCAGCTAGAGCATCTCCAACATTCAGAAAGAACAAAACATAAAGTGGTATACCAAAAAGCGCATAAACAACAGTCGCTATTTTTCCGTAAGAAGTTCTAGGCACTAAATTTCCATAACCGATCATTGTTATAACACTTAGAGAATACATTAAAGCTGCCGAAAACGTCCACATATCGTTCACCGACCTCTCGCTATATCCATACTTAAAAATCTCGACAACTTTTTCCTGATAGCTCCTTAATACTGCATTGGAATCAGAAAAAAAGCTGTCCACGTCGAATATGTTGTGTTTGAGTGCAACTTCGTACAGCTTTACCAGATATTCCTCTCTCTTTTCGTTGATTTGTACAGGTTCTATATTTACCCCTTTCTGTTCAAGGGTCATGAAACTAACAGCTCCCACTAAGGTGTAACCGAAAACTAACGCTCCCAATCCGACTTGAGTACACATGAAGGCAACGACTTTTCGACAACAATCTTTGATTTTCGCTCTTGGGTCATTATCGCTCACTGAAGAAGAACCCCTGCTTCGAGAACTTCCCTGATAGTATTCCTCCATCGCTGTATTTCTGATATAAAAACTAATAAACAAGAAAGAAACTACTCACAAGTGTACAAGAGTTATTTTTAAGCGTAACACATGCTTTGGATCTTAGCCAAGTCACTACAACCAAATCAGTGGTGTACCAACGTTTTCTTTTAAGATATTTTTGAGATTTGGGAGTGCGCGGCAAAATATTTACTCTTTAAAATTTAAAAAGACAAAAACGTATTACTTAAAATACAAATACACTGCAACCCAAAATTAACGCATAATTTTAAAAACCCTGGTAAATTAAATAATTTTAATGTTTCGATTTTTGTACTAATATATTATCGTTACCCCCGGTATATTGTAAAATTTATCGAAAGAACGGTAAAAAACGCTGATGTTTTTATCATTTTTTTGCAAAAAATTAAAAACATGCTAATTGTGCTTCATTTTACTTCGAATTTAGTTGGGTTGGATTTCGTTGTGCTGAACGTTTAAAGGGGTTTTTCAAGTTTATTAAGTGTTTTTTCTTTGAAATGAACCACCCGCAGCAAGAAAATCGAAATTTGTCAGAAAGTGACTGTTTTAGAATCGTTACTCTTCGCGAAGAAGGATACACTCAAGTAGAACTCGCTGAACGTTTTAACGTCACCCAGTCAACAATTTCAAGAGTGTTAACACGTTTTTCTGTTACTGGAAGTAACTCGAGAAGACCCGGTCAAGGCCGTAAAAGGGTTACAACTCCTAATCAAGACCGGTTTTTGACACTTCGTACACTGAGACAAAGGTTTGTTTCCAGTACTTCTCTACAAAATGAATTTTTGGATCGTTATAACTTTAGAATCAGCCAAAATACAATTAGAAGAAGACTTGCCGAAAACGACCTACACCCTGGAAGGGCACCAATTGGCCCATTATTGATCAGAGACCATAGAAGGCAAAGATTGAATTTTGCTCGTGAACATGTTGATTGGAATAATGAAGATTGGGGAAGAATATTGTTCACCGATGAATCCAGGTACTGTCTTTTTTCTGATGACAGGAGAAGTAATATAATACTGTCAAAGGGTCTAAACTTTGCTATTACTCAGCCATCCGTTCCAAAATTAGACATAATAAGCTCAGTGGAGAAAATATCTCAATGCTTACCAACCCATGAAAAGGAAGAATACAGAGTGTTATGTAAACTTGAATTGGAGAAATCTACTAAAATTGAACAAAACATAAGCAAAGAGGAACTAAAGGCTATAAGAACTTTAAAAAATGACGACTCCATAATTATCCTACCAGCAGACAAGGGGAATGCAACTGTAATAATGGATAAAATTCAATACGAAAATAAAATTAAAGATCTATTAATAAACGGACCTTATACAAAATTAACAAAAGATCCAACAAAGCCTTTGGAAAACAAAATATATAGAACTTTATTCAAGTTTAAAGATGTTTTAACAAGTTATCAGAGAGGATTAATTACACCTCATTACAGTAAGACTCCTCATTTTTATGGAGTACCGAAAATTCATAAAACGAATATACCACTTAGACCCATTTGTAGTACCATAAATTCTCCTTGTAGTGAACTATCAAAATTTTTATTAAATATTTTAAAACCTTATACAAATCAAAATGACACATTCATAAAAAATACACAACATTTTTTAAATAAATTATCAAATATTGAATTTAATTCAAATAATACTTTGGTAAGTTTTGACATAAATAGTTTATTTACGAATGTGCCATTAAATAAGACTTTAAGTATAGTCAAGACAAAATTAGAGAGTGATGATTCATTGGCAACTAGAACAAGACTAAACATATCGGCTATAATGGAGTTATTAACATTATGTACTGATAATACATATTTTCAACTAAATAATGAATTCTATAAACAAAATTTTGGTCTAGCAATGGGCTCTAGTTTATCTCCATTCTTAGCCGATATATTTATGGAAGATTTTGAAACAAATATCATTTCTAAACAAAATTTCAAACCCACAGTATGGTGGAGGTATGTAGATGATGTATTCTCAATATGGCCTCATGGATCAGAGTTGTTGGACACATTCCTAAACGATATAAACGATAAAGAAGAGACAATAACATTTACCATGGAAAAGGAATATAATAACACGCTACCTTTCCTGGATGTTTTGATCTCTAAGAACGATACTGGATATGAGACTCAGGTGTATAGAAAACCAACACACACCAATAGATATTTAAATTTCAAATCAAATCACAATATTAATGTAAAAAAGGGAATAATTAAATCCTTATACGATAGAGCCAAAATTACTTGTTCTAACGAAAATTCGTTCTTGGAGGAGAAACATTTGTTAACATCTGTTTTATTAAAAAATGATTATCCTTTATCGTTTATAAATAAGGAATTTTCAACAATCGATCGAATAGAACAGAACAACTTAGAACGAGATCCTACAGCATACACAAGGAATAGTATGAGGAAAATAACAATACCGTACATAAAAGGATTATCAGAAAAACTTAAAAGGATAGGAAATAAATTCAACATTTCAACAACATTCAAAACAACAAACACGTTGAGATCTATTTTGTCCAAAACCAAACCTAACAATGAACAAGAAAGGACAAAGAATTGCATTTATAAAATACCTTGTGAATGCGATCAGTTTTATTTAGGTGAATCATCAAGGCCATTAAATGTTAGAATAAGTGAACATCAATCTTATATTAAAAATAGAGAATTTGATAGATCTCAAATATGTAAACACGCATGGGATAATGAACATAGAGTTCAATGGAATAATTCAAATATAGTCCTAAAAGAAACGGATGGTAAAAAAAGAAAAATCAAAGAAGCGGCTCTAATTATGCTAAATGAGGCCAATTGTGTCGCCAATTCCTCGGCAGAATGTAGTAGGATCTGGTTACCAATATTGAAAGAGGAAGTTATTAATAAGAAAATACCAGTATTAGTAAGTTAGTAACATATAGAGGATACATCATGTATGTTTTTTAAATAACGTAACATAAAATCAGAATTTTGATGTTTGTTGAAGGTAAACTAAATTCACGAACAAATACTTACAATGTCGGGATAGTATTATGAGGTTTTTTTCCTGGTTTTTCCCTCATAATTTACTATGGAATCACTAACAGGAGAATTTTACTGTCATCATGTCATGTGTTTGTCTTTTTAAAGACAAATTACATGCTATGATTTTTTCTGACGGATATTCTCAAGTTAAAGTTGATTTCATGTAATCGAATGAACTATCTTATAAGTAAAGTCGTCCCAGGAGCGCAACTCAACAATATTGGCAATATCATTTTAAAGTCGTCTACTTTAAAATGCATAATGTATGTCTGAATTGTCAATATAAATGAGTCAGATAAAATTAAATTATCAGAAGAATTTTTTCACTATGTAACAAAAAACAAAATTTGTTTAATTTACTATTTGTATTTTGAGAACGATTTCCGAATTGGAAATTGAAACGTCAATAAATGTATTTTTATCTTTAATGTGGCTTATTCCCAGTTATAAATAGTAATTAATTTACAATGCCACAAGAAAATAGCTTCAGAACAATAATAAGGAGAAACCGAGTGTATAGAAGGCCTGGGGAACGCTACGCACAGTGTAACACCGTAGGGACTGTACAGTATGGCGGCGGCTCGGTAATGGTATGGGGTGAGATTAATTTAGAGGCTCGTACGGAATTAGTTAAAATAAATCACGGTCGGCTTACATCGCAGAGGTATATAACAGACATTTTAGAAGAGCATGTCGTGCCATTTGTACCATTTATTGGGGATAATTTCATGCTTATGCAAGATAATGCCAGGCCACACACGGCATGAATTGTGCAGCAGTATTGTCAGGAGGTTGGAATTCCTGCCATGGATTGGCCTGCGAGAAGTCCTGACCTTAACCCAATAGAACATGTTTGGGACATCATAGGCAGACGACTACGACAACTACCTAATGCACCAAACACATTAGATGAACTGTTTTTGCGGTTGGTTGAAATTTGGGATCAACTTGATCAAGAAGAAATCAGAACGATTATTCTCAGTATGAGAGATCGTTGTCAAGCAGTAATAAATGCCAGAGGAGGCAATACTCGATACTAGTACACGGTAGTAATATTTTCTTCAACTTTAAAAACTTTTTCTTCATTAATTTATGATGTTAGTTTGTTTAGATCAGTTCGTTTAGATGTTATGATTTATGTTAGGATGTTATATTGTTAATTTCAATACATTTTTTTGTAAAAAAAAGAATAGTTTTATTTAAGATGTTCTAAAACAACCATAAAGCAGAAAAGAACAAACAAAATTTTTTTCATTACAACTCAAAATAAGAATTTTAAAATTATGCGTTAATTTTGGAGCGCAGTGTATTATAGTACTTATAGTATAAAATACAAATAGTAATAGTATATAAAGAATGTATACCATTGTTTAAATAAATTATCAAATATTGAATTTCAGCCAAATAATATTTTAGAGTAAGTTTTAGTAAGATAAATAGTATATTTACAAATGTATCATTAGATAAGACTTTAAAAATAATCAAAACAAAATTAGAGAATACATAATATACCTTGACAATTATAATATTTTTCACCTAAGAAGACTGCTTTGCAATTAAATGCTGGTAACTTTATTACTAGCGGACCAGATAAGCGGCGATATATTGTACACTACCTTTATGAATAACATTTTACTGCTCTATTATTTCAATCAGCACTGCTCAACAAGTTATTGTTTATTGGTTTTAATATTTTATTGCAATAGTATGAGTACGGAATATTTATTTAAACAGTGAATTTATTACATGTTAATTTTTTTTTCATTTCTTCTGACGTATCGTATAATGTAGGTTTAACCAATAATCAAAGTTATGCCTTTACAAGAACATATTA